CCCAAGGGGCAACTGTGTAGCTACCTCTGCTCTACATGTGCCTGATGAGCTTGGGGCATGGGAGGCCATTCTTTCTTACGGTATAATCATCTCCTAGCAAAAGATGACATTCTGCTGTGGTTCCCATTAGAGAATCCTATAACTAGGGAGTTGTAAATGCGAGAAAACAGTATTGTTACAATGTTGGATGTAATTACGCTGTTTGCTAATTGGGGATCACTGCTTAATTTCAAAGCACATTTTTGTGTTTTCTCAATTGTGAAATTGAGGCAAAACATTCACTATCCTGTAATAAACTCGTTGATCTCCTTATTTCTAAAGTGAAGGCCTAAATGTTCACATACAACGTAGAAGATGTAACAGAGAAGGAAGTCACTTTCAAAAACGCTGCACTAGAAAGTTTCCCAACTAGGTGTGAAGTAAGTGTAGTAGAAGTGAACAGGATGTGTGAACACATGAAGGCCCACTATATTCTTTTATGTTGTCATATTCCTAATGGAATTATCGAACAGTATTTACTCAGGATTGACAGGACTGTTTCCTGTCTTGGCTTCGCCGTCAGCCAGACATGTGACTGTGGGCCTCAGTATCATCATCAGGTCCCCAGGTGTCAGTTTCTTCATTGGTAAAATCGGGTTGAATTTCAATTTGTATATTGGCTTGGCAAATTTTGCAACACGAATATATCTGTGTTCTAATTTATTTAATACTCTTAAGTTGACTTGTTTAAAAAACTAAAGGAAATGTTCTATTGTGGGTGCAAATTAAAAATTGATATGACATCACAAATAGCAGGTAACCATAAAATGAATAAATTAAAATAAAACCTTGTTAATCCAAGATAGATGAGGTGGTCAGAAGATTCTGAGACAGAGGCTTCTCTATGTAAAAGGCAGTTTAGGAAGTGCTAGAGAGGTGTTGAATGTATATTAGCACCAAACTGAAACCTTCTCCCAGACCAATCAGGGTGGCTGGAAGAGAATTGAAAACAATACTATCTTACCATGTGACTCACTGTTAATGTTTTATGTATTCCCTACAATCTTGCCATTCTCTAGTGGAATGCATCCCATGCTTTGGGAATCACTCAACTTGGTTATTTCAACAGTCCTTTCTAAAGGCAAAAGTTTTATAATTTTGCGTCCCGTTGGAAAGCATTTTGACCCCCAAATGTGATCAAGTCATAGACAAAGACAGACGTGTAGATGGAAAGGAATTATCTTTTAAGAGAATTCATGATGAGGATAGAGACGGTTTCTCTGCCAGGGAAATGCAGACAGGGCTACATCTCCTCTTGGTGCAATGAAGCTCAGAGACATTACCCTGAGCAGTGGTAGTGGCTGGCTTCCTCCCTGGGAATTCAAAAGCCAGGAGCCCCTTGTCTGATACATATATAGGCACTGAATAAATGAAAAATTTGCAGCCTCTCACCGTTGACTTAGTTTTTGTGTAATATAAAGACCAAAAGAAGTTTGAGATATTTATAAACCATAGAAAATGGATTAAACTTAAAATTTTTTGGCTCCTGATCTTTTGCTGCAATCTGTTTGCCATGGATTGTGTACTGACTTCTGTATTTGACATACCTATATTAAATGATTCTTAAATTAGACTGAAGTATCAAAGTAGACATGGGAGCAAGAGGTGAAACCCACAAGTGCCAAAGACATCAAAGCTTTGATCAGCAGGCAGGTGAGGGATAGTGTTTTGGAAGCA